GCACTCAGATCATAGAAAAGCAGGGGGAGAAGGGACATGTATTTGAATCACATTCGAGTGGTTCCAATATATTAATATACTTATCTTGAAGAACGTGCTAGCCTGGCATTTTTTTAATCAATTTTCCACGACGACTAAGAAAGAGAACTTAAAATAAATACGCATTAAGGTACAAAGGCTTATTTATTTCTCATACATTCATGTGCATGCCCCATTTCATATTTCTTTCTAAAACAATTTTCTACCTTAATGTATCCACACCGCAAAGTTCTGATAAACTTATTTACTTTTCACGAAGGACGTTCATGCCTTTCAGATTTTCTAAATCAATTTTCCGCCATTAGGCAAATTATGATATCATGCCCCGGAGCATGCTGACTCAACGTATTAGATATTTGCATATAACCTCGTATTTTCCCATGCATTTTGAACGCTCCACTGCAGCGTGAAAATATTTGTGCCGGCCAACCCCCCTTTACCACTTTCTAAAACTTTTGGAATAGTTTTGCAAATTGATATTGCAGCATGTGATAGGAATTTAATTGAATTGTAAGCGTAATGGTTTCTGTTTGGGTCTCAATTAATTATTTAGTGCGCTAATTGCCTTTATCCGAATACAGAATTAAAGAGACAGTGCCGACAATTGAGACATCAGTTGCGCAGGCGCATTGTGGGGCCACCATAAACGTATGACAACCTGGGTATTTACAAATTTGGAGCCAGGGAATCGAAGACAGCGAGGCCCAGTGGCGCTGACACGACCCAGAGTCCCGAGGAACGGACAAAGTCAAGTCACGCACTGCAGACATTTCCTCAAAACTTGATTTCCAATTCAATGCCAGCAAATGCAATTCTCGAAACCGGCCCCCAAGAGCGGCAGTTACAGCTCCACAAAAGGAGGTACCTAGATACATTTGTAGCTACAAGTTGGCTTTGACGATGGCCTGTCACTCAAGCGGCAGATACTCGTAAACAGGAAAACATTTCCTCGAACGCAGCATTAACTTGAGCATGTTCTTGGTTCTTGGTTCACAACATTTCCTTTGTCTGTTTTTCGACGCCGAAAAGACATAGCAAATCCCTTTTCATTCTGCGTGGGCTGTTCTCGACTTCACAATGGCGCCGTCTGACATTGAAATTTTCTGTCATTTAACTGCCTTACTTCTTTGGTTATGTTGGTCGCCAAAAATCAAGACAGAACAAACAAAAGTTTGCCCTAGTTTCGTTGGTCCGCCAAAATAGTGGTGCGTCATAAATAAAAACAAACGGAGCAGCTACTGTAAATGCTTGGGGGTCCATGACAGTTGCCGAAATAGCCCGAAAGAATCTGGCTCTCGGTGCATACATATATTTTTAGGTATATTGCTTTGACACAGCCCGAAGGAGGCGTCGTCGCCTCTGAGTCATCAGAATCTTGCAAAAGCTTTGACACACATAAATAAAAAGTGTTTGCTGCATGTATAAGAAGACAAGACAATCTAAATTCAGTGTATGCTAAATACAGCAAATAAATCGATCGAAAATTGTTTGCTATGTTTATAATTTCGACATGATTATTATCTAAAACAAATCCTACAAATATAAATTCATAGAAAATAAATTTAAACAATTTAATTATGACAATATGTTCTATGTGAATACATAAAATCTATAATATAAATATATTTAAGACCAAGAAGATAAAAGACCTTCTTTACCATTCTCTGCATATCATCTTACCATTTGGAAATCTGTTTATGTGCTCAAATGTCTATTTATTTATAAAGGGATAAGAAAGTTTGAAGGCCACTGAAGAAATTTTAAATATTTTTGTACCAGTTTTGTGACAAAATCCCCCTAAGCAAAACAACTTCTTCAACACAAACAATTAGTGATCCAAGGAAAACAATCGAAATTTAAATGTTTTCTTCCGTTTTTCGTTCCTCCCCTCTCTTTATTTACATTATTTTTATTTATGTTTTGCAAATTATTTTGGTCACTGTGGATTCGTTTATTTGCCCACATGCCTTGTCGTTTATATAAAAAACACCACACATTAAAAGTATCCTCAACAGATGTGCGGACGGATGAGCTCAAAATGTCGACAATATAACCCACAACATAATACACATACGTACACATAGCATGTGCAATTTGAAATTCTGGAAAATCAGCACAGAATTTGAGTTTAGCTAACATAATTTCGATACGAGGGCAAATAAACTGACAGACTAGCAGAGAGATCAGCAGAAGATCATGATGAGGTTATCGCTGATGACGCCAAAATGATGTCATATTCGGCCGACACACTCGAATGCCTTATATCTAAAGCTTGTTTCGGGTTTTGTGTTTCAAATTCAAACACACACCAATAAATTTAGGTACCGCCTGTATATATATCTTATGTGCCTTTATGACGCCCCCCTCTGGTCCATTGATTGTGTTATTTGTATTTGTGTAGCTCCATTGTTTGCCATTAGAATGTCTTGTCTGCCGGTTTTAAGCTCTGAAGTTGTTTGTCGGGTTTTTGTCTGCACAGATCGGCAAACTACCTCATCGACTGTGCTGCTTTCTGCCAAATTCAAGTTCAAGCGACAGACGATGCGGGTGTATTTTTTATTTTACTCTTTTTGTGTATTGAAAACATCAAGAACTCGTACAGAAAGTATGGCAAAAACAACAATAGCAAGGTGGAGATATCTTGAAGTTTCTACGCTTTCTTAGAAACAGGGTGGTTGTCTAACGTTTTCCTATAAGGGTGGTTCCCGACACTTTCCACCTTTCGGGGTGGTTTCCCGCCTCTTCTAACAGCGCTTCTTGGCCTTCTTTTGCTTGGATTTCATTTTTGGCTTGATTGACGGCAACGCCTGGCGTGTTTTAATGCCTTTTTCCTCATTTTATTGCAAAGGGTGGTTGTTATTATTTACGTTTTACGTACCGGCATTTGTTCCACCCTATCGGCATTTTTTTCGAAATCTCACACGCATAACTTCCTTACTTTTTTGGCTACTTTATGGTAACTTAGGGTGATGATAAATTGCTTAATTCATTGATAGATCATGAAATATGTAAGAGTATCTGGGTCAATGGATTGCAGAGGGCTGTTAGGATTTCCATACATTAAAACAACGACCCATTTCTTTCTTATGATTTTTTTTCGCTACATAGAATTCTACACAAAGGGCAAGGGCTAGATTTGAAATTTGATATACCATTTATGCAGCAAATAAGGAAATACACTGTATGTATGTACATAAAACTCATTCATTCAATTCATAAATTTAAAATTTATTTAAATTTCTAGCCTTTTAATTTTGTTATTGGAATAACAATATTGTACGAGCTCATAAGACCATTTATTCGATATTAGGTCATTCCCATAAAAAGACAACTCTACAGGGGCCCGTCTGCCACTGGCAGAAGGCATAAATGGGCTGAAAGAGAGTGCAATTGTAGTGCGCCAAAAAGGAAACGCAACAGTTGCAACATGGTAAGTAGTAACGATTGCCGACGTCATGGGTGGAAAATAAAAATGTCAATAAAAATTACAGCAAATTGCTGCCTGCCGCGCCCCCTATCCACCGTTTATATTAGGGGGCGGCAAATGGTAGCACGCAGGGCACATGGTTGTGGGACACTTTATGTAGTTACCAAGGTTACTATCCTATCCCTAGTGTCCTGGCGTCAATTGAGCGCTCGGCTGATTAAATTACCCGAATGCACAGTGTGGGTAACGGACAAAAGGACAATGGAGAGGGGGATTGCATAGAGCATTAAGCAATTGTCCTTTTTATATATGCCATGGCCATGTCGCCATTCGGTCTCCGCGTCAGTGAGTCGCCGCGAAAATTGCACTTTGCAGTGCTTCAACCCAAAAACTTTGTCCCCACAATTTCATTGATTTTCCCTTCTCTGAGCTGATGATTTCATTCTCAGACCAAAACACACAAGAATCACGAATATCCTACAAAGCAAATGCAACACGTGACGGAAGGCAAACGAAGTCCTACTTTGAGTTCAGTAAGTCACATCATTTTCGCTTTTAATTTCGCCCTTTGGCTGCCACCGATGACCGCAGAAGCCACCAAACCAGATGACATCACAATTTTTTGAGTGGGTTTGATTGTGTGTCAGTGTGTTGTGTGTGCGAAAAGATTGATGAGTAAGCCTTAAAGAGGACTTTGGGGAGTGCTAGGAAGGATATTCAGAAGAGATATAAGAAGACATTTAACTTAAGTCCTTTTATAAGTATTATACGGAATTAAAAAAAAAAGTTTTCTATCAACAAATAAAGGGTAATGTATTACTTTAATAACAATACCTTAATTACATTTTTGTTGTTAATTATTTAAAGTGCTACCTGTAAATTTATAAAAGAAATTGTAATTTTTAATGCTTTCCAAATGTATTTAAAAATAACAATAAATTCATTAGATGAGGTTCCTTTCTTGTCGATGTGCAATTTATTTTCTATTTCAAAACTAAAATTTATATGAAAATTAAGTTTTTACTGTCCGCAATTCCATTTCGAAATGCAAATAATATATATAATATTTTTATTTAATTTGCTTTGTTGCCTTTAACGTTTCCAAGTTTCGGTTAATAATGTTTCCGTTCTTGAGGCAATTGCTTAGGATAATTATTCAGTTAATCACCAATTGGAAGCTTTTTATTTGTTACGGGTTCATTATTTGCTATTTATACATTCTCCATTAACCAAAAGCACACACAACCAATCACGCATATAGAGTAACAACACGGGCACTTGTTCGTATGCGGCCAAATGTCGCCAGGGAATTCGAAATCGTATTTGATGGTAGTTTTATTTCTCTCTTTTCTTTTCAAATTAAATGAAAATATTTTAAATTCAACACTGGCTGGCACAAGAATAACAGCGACACTGCCGAACTAAACGCGCAACAATTTCTAAATGCGAAGTGTGACTACAAAAATAAGTTTTGAATAACAGCAAGGCAAAGGAAACACTATTATTATGTATAAGTAGCTAAAGGAAAACACACCGAAAAGCGCGAGTCGCGCGGCTGCTTCAAATAAAAACGTCTTTGTTTTTATTTTATTTTTTTTGGCGGCAGCTGCCAGAAGTCAAAAGATGCTCTGGCGTGGGTGACTTCGATTCACGATTTCGATTTCGATTTCGATTTGATTCCGTCTGGCAATCCGCGTGCGCGTCCAAACGCCTCGCCGTTCAAAAGAAAACTAAACCCAGTGGTCGGGTCGGGAAACCAGAGAATATTCAGCCAGCTGTTCCGGTCCGCCGGCCTTCCTACTCGCGGGGACGCGACTGTGACTTAAGAGCCGGTCGAGAAATAGCATTGCATACTTTCGGCTGCCGGCGCAAACGGTTAGCCCTCTATTTATGCTACGGCTTTTGTTGCCAGCCACTTTGGCATTCGCAAAGATTTTCCCGGCTAACGAAATGCTTTCTGTTTTTTCGGCTGTCTGGAATTTTCAACCCTTAGGCACAGTGCACACATTTGCACGGAAACACCCCCACAATGGGATTTCCTCGGGGACACACACACGTTTCGAGGGTGTTTTGTCTGGCTGATATGCATATGGGCAGACCGTTTCCTTAATGAACTAGAAAATATTGACCTAATATGCATAACTAAAAGGTCTTTAATAAGTTGTCAACAAGGGGAAGAAACGTTAAATAAATACAAATATTATTTTCATGATTGTTTTGGTAGATTTTAATTGACTTTTAGTGTCCGTTACATTTAATATTCAAGATTATTTATTGGGTATCCACGTTAGAATATAAAGCATACTTTTTCTACGTCCTGCAGTTTTTCCCACGACAAAGTAAAATTGTATCAGTGTTTGGGATTTCCTATAACCCTTCCTTTTATAATAATAATGTTTTCATATTTATATTAAACAAAGTTTTTATCAAAATATTTTAATTTACACTTGATATTGAATTTGAACTTAATATTTAATATTTTATTTAAAAATTAAATCTTAATGCAAAACACAACGCATATTCAATTGCATAGTTTAATATTAAAATATATTAAATTTCGTGCAAAATATTTCAAAAATGGTTTAAGCTTAAAATACACTTTCAGTAAAAATATATAAATCGAGTATATAAAGTGCATTAAGCCATAAATAACTATTTTATTTATTATATTTATGTCATTTACTATAATAGTGCTTCATAAAACATATTACTGTGTTTTTTCTGTACTCTACAGTCTATTAAATTCTAATGTAATGAATAGTTTTATTAATGGTTATCTTTACTGTTCTGAACTAACCTCCCCTAAATGGTAATAACTTAATTCCTAAGCCAGGTGCAACCACCTCGAACAGCCAAACAAACTTTTCGTAACTGTCTTTCGAAACAGCTGCAATTGTTTTAGTACCTCAATAGGGCTTTTTTTAATTTGGTTAGGAGGACATCCATATCCATATTTCCAGAAACAGTTGCTGCCCCACAGCTGCTTTAGCCAGGCCCCAGTGTGCCAATTAAATTTAATTTAAGGCGACGTTTGCCGCAACTCAGCAACTCACATTAGCATTTGTCTTGGGAGAAATGCCACAAGAGTGATGATGATGATAATGGTGCTCTCGAAACGATCCCAAATCGCCGCAGATAGCGATCTGATGTGCCACATCGATGGGGCTATTTTCGATGGCACCGATTAGCCTATTGGCCGAGTGAAATCTTTTAACCCTTTGCAGGGCGCGTGTCTGGGAATGGGGCTCGGAATGGGATTGGAATTGGAATCGGAATTGGAATTGATCGCTGCTCTGCTCTTCGTGCTGTCTATTTTTGGTTGGTGCCCGCTCGCACACTCGCGAAAAGCTAGAGACATCGGGCCGATCGGACGATCCCATCTACACTCCGGCGTAGCACAGATTCCGCCGCTCTTTCTTTCAGTAGAAATCCGTTGGCCGCGCAAATCGCACGGATGCGGGCGGGCTAAAATCCAAGAGATATCGAAACAGATCAGTCAGAGAAAATAAAAGAGAATAGGTAGAAAAGACATACTCCATCGGATCGGCGGACTGGGAAATACGCAAAATTGATGGTTTTAATAAATAAATAAATGAGTTTTCGGTGCGCGTCGAAAGTGCAGTGCGCGTTTTACAGGCAGATCGCGATTCCTGTATCCATAATAAAAATGCCCAAAAGCATAAGACACAAGTCCGCAAAATTATTTCGAAAATAACCTGCAGCAACAGCAAAAGGCAACAGCAAAAGGCAACAGCAGCAGCAGCACAAAACTCATTAATTTTCCAAATACCCCCAAAAAACAAATGAACGTATCTCACCGATGCGAAATTCGGTGTCCGGCTGTAATTTTAAACGCATTTCTTGCGCTTGTTTTGACATTGAAATGAAACAACAATAACAATCGGATAATTAAAGCGGAGAAAACACACGCCAACGGATATACACCTGCTGTCCAACCCGCGAATTAATCTATCTGCGAAGAAAAACCAAAAAAAACTCAGGGAATTTGGAGAACTCAGGGAATTCGAGAAGATGACCACGCGTATTCGGCGCAAGAAGTCCACGCTGACGGAGTTGAAGATAGCCGTGATCGGGGCACCCAGTGTTGGCAAGAGCGGTAAGATTCGAAATACCACGGCAAGTGATTCCACAGCAACAACACACCGAACACCAAAACAATCCGAGCAATAGCAGACGTATCCGATAGATACTTGTAGCATGGATGCCGAGCAACAACAGCAAATTAGTTGAGCAATCGCCGATTCGTGTATATTTAGACTTTTGTTTGTTTTGTTTATAAAGTGGCAGCATACATATACAGATGCAGATATCCCATACCCCATACCCCATACTTACGCACACACTCTTGCAGCCGGGAGTATCTGTGTGTGGCGGCTGCTGGCACTTTGGCATTGCCTGCCGCTTTAATCGCTTTCCACCGTTTGATTTGACAAGCGGCTCTGGCCAAAAGACCAGGCCATGCACTAATTTATGACGACCCATGAGCACATAGCATAGAACACCGAAAAAAATTTATTTCTTTTTCATGAAACAAATAAACAAGTAAAACCTTAAGTTGTTCCACCAACTGATTGCGGTAATCAAAATAAAATTCTATTAAATGATGAGAAATTACATTTTCGAGAACTTAATAATTATTTGTGATTTTTCCAAACAAATATGGAAATATAAATTATTAAAATCAGCACTAGGTCATTGGTTTTTCAGATCATCATTTTCTAGAAAAAAAGGCAAGGAAAAGTGCTTCAACTTAATTGATGTTGTTCATATTAGAAAAATTTTTATTTTGCTTATAGAAAAAAAGATTTGATATTAAATGTTTAGGAAATTCTGGTTTCTTTTGGTGTATGGGTTCAGATCATATATAGATACTCAAGAGATCACAGATCATTGGCAGCAAAGTCGTTGCATATTTCTTCGATTCGGACGACTTAGCATAAATTGATGTTCCCTGTCAGGCATCACGTATACCGAAACATATTTAATTTGTAACATTTTGGTGGGCCCTATCCCTGAGCTGATGCTAATGATGATGATGGCTTTAGCAGGAAAATTTATTCCCGCGGCTGCCAAATTCATGTCACCCCTGCATGCTATTCGTCCGCGTTGTCAAGTACCCACTCTTTGCTCCAAAAATAAAGGATTCATTAAAAGCTGAAATAAACTTTCGATCCATGTAAACCAAAGATTGGCAGGAGAAAAGTATTTTTAATTTTTATCAGACGGAGAAAAAAAAGGAAAGTCTTTTTGAATCGTGTTAAGGTTAATTTTCAGGGGTCTTTAAATTCTATCCTTAAATAGTTATCTAGGTTTTTGAACAAGCATCATGACAGAATGTCAGGACCTTGCCGACATACAGAAAAGCATATCCGATTGCCACGGCTATTGATTTTATCTAAAGACGTCTGTAGGTATCGAAGCATTAAGTAAACCGTTTTACAGTCCTTACAATCTTTAACATCATCTAGCACACCGATGGTCTCCAAAAACTTAAGCTGGCTATGACCAGCTGGTCACCTAAAAGCTCATTTATAATTTCTATTTGCCCATTTTGCAAGACCGCTTCTTTTGCAAATACATGGTCCTGACAAATTATGTTCCGTAATTTACAAGTCTCTACTTTGTTATTGTTTAAGAAGTTTTGCAAGCAGAGAAAATGCATATTAACACAGACTAACGACATACATCTTTTGCACAGATGCATTTTGTTTAATACAGTATTTAAAAAAAATTATTTTGTGATGGCAATTACGGCCTAGAGGGCAAATTTGGTCCGGCTGTCCACTTCAGGTAACACCTGTGTACTATATGTCCCCGGTCACAAATTATTTTGAGTGCAAACCAAAAAGAAAACTGGCGTGGCCAGCCGAAGACTGTGGACAGTGGAGCCGCCTGAAATAAGACTAGAAAATATGCTTCACTAATAAATATAGCGATAAAAAAAAACACGAAAAAGAAAACGCATGACATGCAGAAAATCTACAACTGGGTGTGTCTTTGGTGACAAACGAATGAGCTACGTCTAGTTGTGTTATGGATGAGGACATAGAAAACAACACTCTTATTTTTCACAATTTAAGCTTTTTTTAAGTTCTAAAAATAAATTATCAATTCCTTACTATTTTAGTATTTTAAATTATATAAAAAATTTTGATTTGAACATATATTATTATGTTTCCATAAATTATTTAAATTGCTTACGAACTTCTTCAAAACAAACAACTTAATACTAATATTTATTAACGCTTAAATTAACTTTCTAAAAATCCTTAAAAACTAGTTTTAAAAGTTTATACCAGATAACTTCTTAGTGAGCCAAACAAAATATCACAAAACACTCCATTTTTCCTGGCCCATAAAAACAAATCAGCCTAAAGCAAATGGAATTCCTCCTCAATAGCAGCTAACACATAATAACAAATGCATATATGTTTAATAAATTTATTGCCACATATTTTAATGTCACTTCGCCAAAATCGCTGACCAAATACCAGAGAAGATATTTAATTCAACTGTGTGTCCATGTCTGTGGATGCGGTGGGGCAATTAAATCGCCCACATCCACCTCCGCCGGAATTTGCCGTGCAGCCACACATACGCACTTGGCCATATAGACATATAATAAGAACACAAGACATACATATAGACGTAGACGCGATCAGCGCCCAGCGGGCGGAGAAGACGCCATCCCCATTGCTATTGCGGCGTCGTGCG